GTCTAGGGTCAAGTGCAGGGATACTAATTTTTTCAAATACTTTTATTGAATACTCTTATTCTACATTGCTAAATAATGAACTTTCGTGGGAAACGTTTTTTCCCCTACATTTACCATTTTTTGGTCTAAATGTGCGCTTTTTGGTTTGACTTAGGAAGGTGTTCTGTCAATGACTTGGCACACTTCTTTATAACGATCTAACGGATAATCGCGCAACTACGCATATTCTTTCTGACAAGAATTATAAAAGAAAATGTGCACTTATGTGCCAAATTCGTTTCATTGGCACTTGGGCATTGCTAGTGCCATCCATTCAAGTATTGCAACGTATTATTGACAATGAGTAAGTGACTATAATACTGCAGCTTTAGAAATCTAGCAAAGCGCATGCCCAAAACTAAATTTTGAAATCGACATTCAAATATGGCTCTTCGAAGAAACGTCATTTTTTAGAATTCGCTAAAAATGCTCAATCAAAATGAGATGTTCTCCTCTCTTTCACTCAAGCTGCTCTACCAACCCAACCCACTATACATTTACAAACATCCATGCCCAAACGCGGATTCGAACCAGGGACCCTTAGCACCACAGTTCAGCTTTAACTGACCTGCGCCACATGGGCCGCCTATAATAGGTATCTAAAAAGTTAAAATTGCAAACGAAGGATACTCATTGATGTCTCGACGAGATTAAGTAAGGGTATTTTTTAGATTTTTTTTGTGAATTTTGAACAATGACGTTTCTTCGAAGCGCCATATCTGAATAGTTTTTGGAAATTTAATCATCACAAAAAAAGTATGCTTTTGCCATAGAATGGAAGACGAAAAGGGTATTCAGATAAAACCGGGAAAAGGTAAAAAACTTCGCATTTTCGAGGTCGAAAACTTGGGAAAATGTTAAAGAAACATCCTTAAACGACATCCCAAAGAATTTCTGGCCTTTTTTTATCTGAAATTGTCGACTGGACTACATATGAAAATGCTCTCGTAAATAAAGAAGTTGGCATTGCGCATGCGTTAAACCACATTTTTGATACTGCGTATGTGCAAAACAACATTTTGAAATCGTATATTCTTTGCGAAAGAGCTACATATGAAATTTAATTTAAATATCTTCATAAATAAGAATAATAAGCTTTGCACATATTCGCCTGCCAAGATATAGGTTTTCAAAAAATACCCAGGAGCTTTAGTTAAACAATCGTGCTAAAAATATCAAAGGCACGAGATCCTTGCACCAAGCCCTTTCAAATGTGCCCCATATCACACAAATCGGTTCAGTCGCGTAGAAGTATTACGTGTGACGGACACACGTACGGACGAACGACAAAGTGCAGCCAATACCGTTTTTCACTTTGAGGAAAATACGCTAAAAGGATTGAGAAATAAAGTACACGTCAAAAAACAGTACGCATATCCATTATTATAGTTGACTGTACAGGTACACGTTTTAGGACACCTCGAATGTTAGTAACCCTGAATTGTTTTTTTTTATACCTCAAAGCGATGGATGATCTTGAAGCAACAATCCAAAGAAATTAAATTAGTCACACCTACGAACGTCTGATTAGGAACGGTGATTTGCAGTTTGCATTAAAAGTGAATAACCTTTCGAATCCTAACTAGACATAAAATACTTACCTTCTTTGATATTGCAAAGTGCTACGTGCCAGTTTGCACACAAGCACAGTCTTAATATGAAAAAAATGTTCACCCTTTCATTCCAAGAACCTACTTAACCGCGTTTCGCGTTTCATGGCTCAATTTATCAATCCTTGCAAGAAAGTTTTTTTTTCTTTTACATCTTGGACACGTAAACTTTTTAGGACGTTAAATAACTTGTTTGGAATTCACACGTACCCGAAAAAAATCTGCCTTCTACGGAACGAAATAGAAGTAATCATTTTTATTAACAATTATTATTGTTAGTAGTGGAATTAGAATAATTAGAAACGTGCACTTAAATTTTAATGCCGGTTATGTTACGTGTCAGGACACCCGGGTCACTTTTGGCCGGGGAAATTAAGTGGGACAGTTGCGATTTCGTAATGCTTTCCATAATGGTGGCGTTACTATTGTTAATTAAGGTGAGACAATGACGTCCCAAGATACACAGATAAACAGAGTAACATTGAAATTGCTCGAAATCGATTTTTGGTTAGCACAATTTTAAACCCTCAAGTGAATAACAGTTTTAATTAAAAATTACCAGTATTTTTGTTCTTAATTCTTAATTAATTATGACCAATTTCGGTCTTTACCTTTAGTGTATCAGATAATTTTTAGCGCATTTTAAAAAAAATACGTTAAAATATTCGTTTCGACTGGCTGGTTGGCTGTCCGGATGATATCTCAGCAATTACAATAGTTACAGACTTCAAATTTTCACTTTCTGCTATAGTGTAGATGTGCAGGCTCTAGTCTATTTTGAGTTAGATTACTCATGAGATAGATAATTTAAAACTTCGTTAATAAAATACTGATCGGTGTTACAAAAAATGCGCTTTCATAATGCATATGCTGATTTACAACTTGTTTTGATACATTTCCTACAAGATAAAGGCTTAACTCTAGTATGTCCCAGAATGAGAGAGAGACAGAGTAATAAATGACCAAGGGTACGAAAGAGTATGACTATTTTTGTATACAAGTGGACAACAAATTAATATTTGCCATCAAACATAGGTATTTGAAATGATAAATTTAAAATGCGCAGCATCCAATGTATGTGGGTGGGTGCTTCGGCAATACGTGCCGGCGATAAAAATTAGTCAAGTAGGTATAGAATATAATTTGTTTAAATATAGTCGATTCCCCTTAATTGACCTAAACTAATACATAAATTATTCGCTTAATTAATACAAAACAAAGTCGTGTATGTTACCCCACTTCTAAAACTTAAGAACGGCTGGACCCTGGGCTGGACCGATTTTCATGTTCTTTGATTTTGAATTCGTCTCCGACCCAAATAGTAGAACTATTAAAATATCTAAAAAAAACACAGAAAATATAAAGAAAATTATTATAAAAGTAATACGAGAACTAGTGACAACTGTCAAATCAAACCAAATCTTACCAACCGTCAAATTAATTAATTTTGATTAACTGTAAATCACGTAGTGCGGATTTAAAATGTGCACAATAGGAACTACGACTGTACCCGGCGCGTAAGAAGATCACGCACCTCCACTCTTCATATTCTATTAATTGCCCCTATTAGTGAACCACGAAGCCAGTTGGCTTCCCCTGGAGACTCTAAATTAGTCATCTAGTTTCAAAGATTTAAAATGTGCACAGTGGGATTTTGCAACATATCACCACCATGTCTTAAAACGAAACCCTAGACGAAACCTATTAATTCACAAAACCTCAAAGGATGTAAAATGTACACACTGGAATGGTATTATATAGAAATGTTAGGCAATGGCAATGTACTTATATACAAAGTGTTCAGCGAGGAAAGGGACAACGCGATATCTCGGGAATGAATGCATATTTTAAAATTCTTAAAGCTTTGTTATACATGTAAGCTATAGCCATATATTTTTTGGTAAAACGTTTTTCAATATTGTCAATGGGCTCTAAAATACACAGACGGATAAGTCAGCTGTGTAATATATAGTAGCTATAATGAATGGTTGGACGTAGGTCCGCGAAAGTTTCTGAGTTAGTAAAACAGTTTCCAAAATTCCCATGGAAATTCTCAGGGAAGAACAGGATTTCATTTTTTACAATCGAAAAAAGATTTGATATTTACAACGCAGGTTTCTTTGATGGCGTTTTAAGGTGTACTCCGAAAAAACTTCCCGAAGTTCCCACGGGAACGAGGTGCGGGAAAAACCGGACTTCCTAAAGTAGGTACGAACTTGGGACTGCTAATAATTAGAAATTCTTATTAGATTTGTTCCAAAAACCAATAAGAGGCTATTTGCCGTTTTGTCTGTCCGTTATGATTGCTCTGAAAAGCACGGCCCGAGTTTCAAGTCACTTGGTGAAAGTTATATACCTAACCTTATAGTTTCGGTCGTAGACTCGCTGTACGTCTTGTGCCAGTTGATTATTACTGGACAAAGTTGAACTAGTTTAGTCCGGAAATAACGAAATTCGTTTACTATATCACACTTTTTTTTCGACGTTACCAGATACGCAACCTTTGTTGGAAAGATATAAGGAATTATAACCGATCACGATAAGGGGTCGAGCAGGAGGACTATCGTTGGTAGATATTAATTCCTGCTTTTTAGACCTTTAATTAGAGTACCACGAAGGACAAAACCTGTGCCCTCCACACCCAACCCCTTATTTTGATAAGGGGTAAGAAAGAAAGGTGGTAGTTGGTGAAGAACAGTTCATTTTCTTAAGATCTTGAATTAGAATACCATGAAGGTTAGAACGTGAGGTCCCTCCCCCTCCACCTTATTTTCAAAAGTTTTATGTTGCACCTTTAAAACAATGCTTATGCAAAATATGAGACCAATTGGTTGTCGCATGTAAAAGTTATGCACGTTTTACTTTCAAAAACAGTGTCTCAGGAAATAATTCGAGGGAGGGGGCTTAAGATATGAAAATTTGATGGCCTTCTGGCACACCTTCCAGATAAACGGACGGGCGGGCGGACAAACCGCAAACAATAGCACATGCGCGAGATGCTAAAATCTTTTAAAATTCTACGTCAAGGGTTTGCTTAAATATAACTCCATGTACTCCTTAGAATCAAAATGACCTAAGTGCTCAGCAGGTAACGTGTGTAATAACAAAGTACCTAGTAATTTATACAGATTTATCCTTAACACAATCTTGAATGATTAAATAGGTATAACAGTATCACTTTACACGTAAATCTTTGCTTTAAAATTAGTTGCAATTTCAAAGAAGGCACGTGCTACTGTCCATGTAGCGGTAGGGATGAGCAATAATGAGTATCCCCCACTCGGTAGCCTATTCACCTTGATTAATAAAAGTATAGGGCCCGTCCGATTGGCAGTAATTCGCGTGGTCAAGTGATACCATTAACTAATATGTGCATTTGCAAGACCGTCAACGGATCGCTGCAAGCGGTTGGTGCAATTTGTGGTAAAGAAGAATGTAAAATTCGGGAAGATTGTCTATCGATTAGTACTCAATATGTAAGGCGCATTTCTTCAAGCTTGGATGCACGTTACAAGAATTTGAGGAAATCCAAATATTGGAGGTATATAAATTTTAACTTATTTCTTATCAAATTGTACTTAGAGCCCTTAAATAAATTATTCTTTCGGCGAGCTTTTGTAACACATTTTTCGTACTAAAGTTATGCAAAGGGCATTTTTGCCAAAACCTATAAAACTATATATTAAAGCTTACGGTGAGTAATTTGGAACGGATGAGTTGGGTAATGATTGTTAGATGCTTTGGAACATTTTTTCAGAATCTTTCAACCCTTAAAAATTAACCCGGATTGTGGTTTATTAAAAAAAAACTTATTTAGTCTGAAAAATGAATAATTTATCGTAGTGCTTTAATGTAAAAGTGTTATTGCCTATAACATATTACTTTGTAACTTTTCAACTCTTAAAAACCATCCCTTATTACAATGCTTAAAAACTGCTATATTAGATAAAAGATAGAAATACAATACGCACAATTACATACAAAAATATATTTAGTGTCTAATGTTTAGCATAGGAAATATACAGGGCGAACATTTTGTCTAAGGCACTGGATATAAGTCCAAAACAACATTTTTTTAAAGAACCTTTATGGCATCCAAAATTATAAAAAGTGTGCTACTCAAATTAATTAATTTCATAATTTAAGACTGGTCATCTTTTTGTTATTTTTAGGTTGTTATATTAAAAAAGTTCATTCTTTCAAAATACCTCGCGTAAAATAACGCTTTCTATTAAAAAAAAGTGACCCAGCTTAGTTCTGTAGACGCCTCGGTAGACGCACACCACTATAAAAAATTTTTAACATTTCCTTAAATTTTTTTAATGATTTTTGATACAATAAATTGCTTTCACATAACTAACAAAAGAATAACGATTGTTAATGAAATAGTGAAATTATTAAATTAATTAACATCACCACTTATTTTAATTTAAGTTTTACTCTTAAATTATGTAATAGTTTTTTAATGCTGATTTATCAAAAATAGTGTACTTTTCAAGAATATGTAACGAAAGCGAGTGGTTGCCATTAAAAATAAGCCCCCCTTGACCATGCTGAAGTACGCTACTGACCACTAACTCAAAGTACATAGATTGGTAGCAAAGTTTTTATCAATCTGGATACCATTATAAGCTTCTTTAAAAAAATGTTGTTTTGAAGATATATTTCTAGACAAAATCTTCACCCTGTATACCGGTAAGGTAGGTAGATCATCATGCTCAGATTTTCGAAAAAATCATGATTGATTTGCAATTATAACTCTTTATTTTTTATGATAAAAAACCATTTTGTGGGTTTTTGGCGTACCAAACGTACTTACCGTATTTGATTGATTTGAATGTTGAAGAAACATCCGACAGGCTCCGTAGTAGTCTTGAAATCGACTATTTTGTTTGTTCGTTCAGCGCAACCATTCTATAAATGTTTATATGCGCATAAGAATTCACCCCATCCCACTTCCACATTTTTTACAGGGAGGTATTGCATTGGGGTAAAAAATGACCCCCCCCCCCTTGTTTACGGAAATACATGTTTTGAAGCATCAGGAATCCGATTCAAACAAAATGTCGATGATATCGGTCTGTCTGTCGGTCGGTCATTTCCGACTAAACGACTGAACCCATTGGAACCAAATTTGGTACACATTTTCTTAGCCACAAGGAATGATTGCAAAAATAGAAGAGTATGGTAATGTTTTCTTTTATTTTACAGACTATTTTCAAACACAACCCAACCAGCACATTTTGTAACAATGTTGGCGGTCGCGACAATAAGTTGTTTAATGATGCCGAACTCCACCGAATCGCAGAAGAACTCATCACCGTTACTAAATCTTCTGTATTTGGCATCTGTGAGTGCGCATTTTGGTATTCAACTATGGATGAGTTTTGTATCCGGATTGGCGCTTTACTTCACGCTGCCTCGCCGTATATTCGGAAAAGTCCAAAGAATACTGTTTCCAAAATACTTTCTAGTCAATTCCATACTTAGCCTGATCTCGTTATGTATATTTTTAAGGAAACACAATGGAAGATTATTAGTACCACAAATACGCTTACAGGTAAACCTTCGCTACAAATCACTGTAATTTGTATAATATTTGTCTTTATTACAGGTCGAAGCACTTCTACTTTGCTTTTTCCTCGAACTGATCATACGACTCTACCTAACACCTCCTCTTTTGCACTTTTTGCAGAAAGCCACCGAATATGAGGAGGAAGTGGGAGTCGGAATGGAAGTTGGGAGGCATAAGTCGGGTGTTCTTGCTCGTAATAAAAATTACGTTTTGGTCTATACTTCCTTTAGAAAACTACATATGGCCATAGCAATAGGAAATATAATAACGTTAGCTTGCAGCGTTGTTCACATTTATTATATTGCAAATATAATTCAATTTACGTAAACGAAAGGTGTAGAAATTGAACTTCGCCATTGAATTGTAAGGCTTTCAGTGATCTGATTAAATATCTAAATCTGTGCCTATATCTGGTAAAATAATTAGGAAGAACACTGAGCGGATAGTTTTGAGGTTAAGGCAGAGCTGGGCAGTATTCGATTTTGTAAATACTTTTTAGTATTCAAATCCTTTAAAGTATTCAAATACTTTGTAATTAAATACTTTTATGGAAGCAGTATTTGTATTTGTCAACTCAAATACTTTCACAAATATTTAGTATTCGAATACTTCGCAAAGTATTTGGATAGTTCGTAAAGTATTCGAATACTTCGCAAGGTAGAATACTTCGCATAGTATTTGAATACTTTTACAAAAAAATCGACTGCACCAAAATTTCTCGGGAAAACACTTTTTCTTATTAATTTTGGTGCGTAGAATCCAAAACAATTCGTACTTTTTCGATCAGACTTCTCAATCAAAAGTTATAGACTAGAAACCAATTTCGAAAGAAAATTCAAAGGGCTGTAACTTTTGAACTAGTAGCCCAATCTTGGAACTGTTTGAAATTATGGATTCTACAGGCCACATTCTATAAGAAAATTTTTTTTCCGGGTCGATCTGAGACAATTTTTTTTTCGGGGCTCAAAAAAAGGCAGTGTATAACCTTCCTTTTTTACCAAAAATCGACTACACCAAAATTTCTCGGGAAAACACTTTTTCTTATTAATTTTGGTGCGTAGAATCCAAATCAATTCGTACTTTTTCGATCAGACTTCTCAATCAAAAGTTATAGACTAGAAACCAATTTCGAAAGAAAATTCAAAGGGCTGTAACATTTGAACTAGTAGCCCAATCTTGGAACTGTTTGAAATTATGGATTCTACAGGCCACATTCTATAAGAAAATTTTTTTCGGGTCGATCTGAGACAATTTTTTGTACGGGCTTCAAAAAAAGGCGGCGAACCTTCCTTTTTTACCAAAAATCGACTGCACCAAAATTTCTTGGGAAAACACTTTTTCTTATACATTTTGGTGCGTAGAATCCAAAACAATTCGTACTTTTTCGATCAGACTTCTCAATCAAAAGTTATAGACTAGAAACCAATTTCGAAAGAAAGTTCAAAGGGCTGTAACTTTTGAACTAGTAGCCCAATCTTGGAACTGTTTGAAATTATGGATTCTACAGGCCACATTCTATAAGAAAATTTTTTTTCCGAGTCGATCTGAGACAATTTTTTTTCGGGGCTCAAAAAAAGGCAGTGTATACCCTTCCTTTTTTACCAAAAATTGACTACACCAAAATTTCTCGGGAAAACACTTTTTCTTATTAATTTTGGTGCGTAGAATCCAAAACAATTCGTACTTTTTCGATTAGACCTCTCAATATAAAGTTATGGACAAAAAACAAATTTCGAAAAAAAATTCAAAGGGCTGTCTTCATTTCCGCATACGAATCTCGCTATTGTTTTAATATTTTTTCTTCCCTCCCACTAATATTTTGGTAACCACTCCCCTATTAGACCTTTATAACTACTACTTCCTCGCGCGCTTTTCACCCTCTGTTGTATTTGTGCATCCAGATACCTTTTTGGCAGCGCATTTTTGATCTTTTGCTACTTCTCTCCTCCTTTTGATCTCAACTTGTCCATATCCATTTCTTTGGTAATATTTTCCTCTTTATTCTTCCCACATTCCTTTTGCGTACATCCTCGTCGTCAAGCTTTTACCAATTTGCCTTCTCTATCGCACCTTCCTCGAATCTTACCGCCCTGTGCCCCGACGCTATCCTTGTCTTTTCCATGTTTGTTTCTTCCAGTTCCTCCCATTCCTGCCACCCCCACGTCCCCGTTCCGTACATGACCACCCCTCTTATAATTGCATCGAACAGGTACTTTCTTGTTCTAAAATCATTCTTGAACCTTCTCCTATTCCCCAAACCTTCTTCACCTTCACTACCCCCTTTTTTCTTAATTCATTTCTTTTGCTTCTTTCATCTCTCCACTTCCATTACCCGTTTCCTTCCCAAATCTCACCATCTTCGACTTTTCTACATTCTACATTCCTTTCGTTTCTTAATAGCTTTCCATTATTCCCATCATTTCCTTCATCTGTTATCTCTGTTACCATTATCGCTGCGTTTGCGTATGCCAGTGACCATATATTTCTCCTCTTCACTACTATCCCTCCACCTTTGCCCTGTCTGAGTCCTTTACATGTTCAAAACACTTCAGACTTTCCTTCTGTTCTTGTTTTGTTAATTTCTTGTGAATTTTCCCATATTTATCATCTTCCATACTTTTTCCCTTTCCACTCTATCAACCTGGTCAATGAAAAACGCGAACTCTTTTCCGCGCTTTTTTTCCAATTCCGTTTATATATTTGCTCCTTCTTTTGAAGATCGGCACAATTACCCCTTTTTTTCATTTTTCGGGTAAACGCCCTCCTTGCCATACCTTGTTTACTAGATTTCTCATTCTCTCTTTGACCTTATATGTGGCGCAAATTCAAGCCTCACTACCTATTTCTCTGCCGCTTTCCATTTCTTCTGTTTTTACTCGGTTTCCTCTTTTTTTTCTCATCTCCTTCAACCTTCCCTTTACATATTTCTTCCATAGCCTCCCTTTTCCTGCTATCCATGTAGTAACTTGTCAAAATGGTGTTTCGGTTCCTCTTCCTACCTCTTCCATTTAGTCTCGTCTTTCTCCCACTTGTTATATATTTTTTTCATCTGTTCCTCCCTTCCAAGAATCCTTTTCTGTTGTCCTTCCTGATTTGCTGTTCGTATTCTTTCTGTTTCTCCATCTTTTTGCTTTTAATTTTTGTTTTTCTTTCTCTTTCTTTTCTCACTTTCCTTCTTCTTTCTTTCTCCACCATTTCTCTATATATTTCACTTTACTGTACACTCTTTGTCCAGCCACTCCTTCTTTTTATCACAACGCCCCTGTTTAATACTCTCCTTTGTATGATTCCACTCCTATTTCTTCTTCTTGTTGCTCTAGTCTCCCTCTGTACAGCTCCACCGTGTCGTTTGTCCATAATTGTATCTTTCTTCGATTTTGCGCTTTTTCATCTCTTCATCTTCTTATCTTCGCTTTTAGACTAATTTCCTTCGGTTGGCGATCCGATTCTAACCTTGTTCCTTTCATCTATTTCTTTGATTTCTTTGATTTACTGTTGCGTAATCAATTACCGACCTCTCTCTTCTTACCATTTATGTGAATTGCTCGTCCCTATCTTGCTCCATATTGCCGTTTAAAATTCTCCAACCTCTCTCTTCTGATAATTCGAGTAATACTTCTCCCTCCTTGTTACACTTTTTATCTCTTGATCCTTTATGTTGTGTTCCTCTTCCCATCTCTACCCATTTTCCTTTAATTCCTGTTCTGGAATTAAAATCTACCCCCCACCCTTGTAATAACCCTCTTCTTCCCTTTCATCTGGCATATTTTCTATTTTTAAGTACTTCATTTATTCCTTTTCTGTTGTATTCTACTATCACTCTTATGTTATTCCTCTCCACTTCCACTTATCTGACCGTTATTCCTCTTAATTTATATCTCCATATTCTCCATTGCTTAGCTTCTGTTGTTTGTGTCTGTACCCCCTCACCCCTCTCTCGCCCGTCTATCTTCTCTTTTGCTGTTTGATTCTCTCTCCGCCCTTTCTACTCCCGATTTTTTCCGCTCTGCTCTCACTAATCCTTTTTCTTTGGTAGTCCCTCTGTATTCTTCATCTTCTACCATTAGTTTGCTATATCACCCTCTTACTTTCTTTCCTTTTCCTCTTTCCTTTTCCGCAACCTCTCTAATTTCTGTTCGTACCCTTTTTTCTGCATATGTCAATTCGTCATCTATTTATATCCCGCGGTTCTTTAATATAACCTCCTTTTCCGCAATTATTTTTCCTTACATGTTCTCGACTATTTTACATTCGCCGCTACTTGTAGGTTTTTTCTAGCCATTCCTCAATTCTCTCTCCCGTTGTCCTTTTCCATCACTACTTCCATTATCGTTATGATGGTGTTCTTTATTTTCCTTTCTCTTTTCTCTCATTTTTTTTCTTTTTCCTTAACCTACTAACCCAACTGTACAATTTAGTTTACACAGCCCGGATTCAAACCAGGGACCCTTAGCACCGCAGTACCTACAGCTTCCAGGCCACTACGCCACACAATTTTCTATAAATGTGTACAGTAACCGAAATAATGAATTAATTTTTGGCTTTTCCACACTGTGACCTAGAGGACAATAATCGAAATAAAAATATATTCATTCCAAAGAACAGACCATTTAGTCTTTACAATCACAATCACAAGTATATGAATTAACTGGAGGCTTCGTTTCAAGGCAATTATTATCAAAAGTCTGCATACGTCCACTTTTTCTATCAAAAGTTCCTAGATACTGACCGCAAAATTTACAGTGAATGTTCATAGTGTTACTGCCTCCTAACATGAACGGTAGAAAGCATAAGGGCCAACAGCCCAACAAACAGATGGCGCCTAAAGACGAATGGGTGATCTGAAACAGTATTTACAATTCAATATAGGTACAAATGCGAAGGGCCCACTTTATTTTGTTGCTTGCGAACGATGGGATGTCCCGTTTTCCCACATGAAGGACAAGTCAAAACTGCTATACCAGGTTTCCAGGTTTCAACTAAGTAGGTAAACTATCAGCGAGAGAAACACGGGATCGATGCGTACTAACCTGTAGTTTTATACATCCTCTTAGTGATGGAGCTATCTAGACTACTGTTCGAAAGGCTTGTCGCATGCTCAATGCTAAAGTTCGTCAGGCTTGCCTTCGAATGGCCGCAGTAGAGATGTTCCCCTAAATTGGCAACTTTTGACGGAGTGTAGAGTAATGCGTCCCCACACAGTCTACATTTAGCCGCAGGCCCCATCTCAAAGTGATTTGAGTTTATGCATTTTATTAAGGTGCGTACATACCAATCTAGTTGCTCGGTGGTTGCATATTTGAAGTAATTTTGGTAAACTCACATATGATCTCGCATTCACTACGGACTTAACGGTATTTTCGTAAACTTCATAATTTTGGCAACAGTTTTCCAATTTAGACAGTTGACGTTTCTAAGGTTCTCGAAATGAAAGATGACGTGAACGTAATAATGAAACATGCAAAGTTTGCTCGTAGTAATCAGTGAGAGAGGTAAACATTAACATTAGGTATTCCAAGACGTACAGTATGAAGGATGTAGGTACCTTTTCGATAGGTAAAACCGTTGAGTGAAATTTTTCGTTATTCAATGGTTCCAGCACATTCTGGTGGAGCTACTATGGGCCACGTCATGCAGGTACCAGAGATTGAGCCCAGAAATTAGGTTTTCAATTATTGGGTGGTAGGTAAGGCTGAAGATAAGTGGTTCGCATGGATTACTGTGCTGAGCTTGTCTCTATTCCGAAGAAAAGAGAAGAGGGGGTTGTATAACATTGGTACAGGAAACTGTAAATGGACGGTATTTTCCGTTTTACTTCTGCAGGCATTTGGCATTTTTCTAGTTGAAGGTACTCCAACAGTCCACTTATAATCCATACCTTTGTATAGCTTAATTAACGTTCTTGTCGTGTGTATCACACCTTCGCAACCACTTTTAGTGTTGACGCCAAGTTGGTGGGTTCTTCTCCAGTTTCAGGATTCATGTGTCTAGAGGCAATGTTGGCTGCAATGTTTGCAAATTTCTGAGCGGCTGTGGTTCTTGCTCCTCTAGAGATACGCTTCCAAATAGGCATGCGATTCTACCTTAGGAAGAATACGACTTTGGTTCAAGGTGGGAAGTCAAAGTCAGGGTGTGCGGAGGATCAGAATAACATTTGACATAGCCCTCTAATCTGCAAACGCATGGAAGTATTATGTCTTTGAGGGTAGATGCATTGATGCTATAAATTTTGAAAGGGAGATTTTGAGTGACGCGACACTTTGTGGATGCGGATGCGATGTGAGGGAAAAATTCTTATAGTTTTTTGGTAATCTTTTTCCTATGAGAGACAATACGCACCACGGCAATATGTAATGAATAAACAGAATACGGGCAGTTCCATAACAAAGTTTATAAAGTTATCATATTTAAGTCACCTCCTATTTTATACAGAGTGTAGCATTTAATGCTCCTCCGATCTCTTTCAGCATAAAAGTCATAAAAAAATGTATGAAAAAGGGTCATCAATGGCGTGCTGTTAGTATTCCAGTGGCGTATCAAACTTACGTTTTTAAAAAAATGGAAAGCCCTATACTTTATGGAAGAATTGGAAAGTACTTGAAGAGTACTCATTTTTTTATGCAACATATTATACCCTCAACTTTAATAATTTCGCCGTTACGTATATCATTCTTTCCTCAAAATTTGAGGGTTTGTTGAATTTGTTTTTTCAGAGAAACTAAGTTTGGACTAATTTTTTAAATTTCAATGGCACCCCCATACAAAAATTATAGCTCGTAATTTCTGAAACTACAAAATGACTACTGATACTTAAAAACATCGAGTCCAAGTTGTAGTTGTTACCAACAGGAAGGTTGTCATTTTGAACATTTATTTCAAGTTGTTACTTACTTTGTTGGTTGATATATTATTTTCACTTTAGTGGCTCACATCGAATTGTTTTGGCGAAGTAGGAGGTGCGTGAAGTTAGCACGGTAATGGAAGCGCTAACGAAGTATTACGACCCAGGCTTTAGTGCTTGATTGTGCACGAAAAAGTAACCCAGCACGCTCACTCCTCTTTGAGTTACAGGGTATCCGTTTTGTGGCAATCGTTAGTGCTTCGTTAGTGCACAAAAAAATACAGCACTTCCAATTGTATTGATGACATAAGGTGTGGTCCCCGTTTCTGATTCGTTAGTCTATGATTGTGCACAAGGGAGTACAGCAGGCTGTGCATTCCTGTTTGAGGTATGGGGTACCTATTTGCATTTTAAGACTTTATTTTGGAAGCAATAAGCAGAATTTGTGACAATTGGTTCAGCCGTTTAGCCGGAAATGAGAGTTTGACCCTCTTGCGCATGCGCCATTCAGCTCCTCCTTTTATTTGTAAGAATATGTGTACCAAATTTGGTTCCAATAGAAAACCTCCATGGAAATTTCGTCTAGAAAGGAAAATTTTGGATTTTAGAAAAGATATAGGCATACATACAATGATAACTAAAAATGTCGGCAATGTTAGTCACGTTAAGGCAAGGCAGATCTTGTATAAATTTGGACTAAATCCTTTAGACAAGAATCTTAATTCTAAATTAATTAACTGTTTAGATACTTTAAAACAAAAATTAAAAGTTACTGCTCATAGGTTAAAGAGATATAGTACTTACATCTACTAATAGAAAAACTAACAATAAGTTATTTATGGAAAATACATCTAAATTTTTTAGAAACCTGTGATACTAATACACCTAGGTACTAAATTATTTCCTTCTGATGATAATAATGTTTCATTACTGGGCAAAAATTTGGGGAACTTCATCTCAATATAACGCAAATGCGTTTTGGCTAAATAATTTAAAAAACAGTTCAAAAAATTGAACGTGGGTAGAAGAAAATTCAATAACTTTAGATGATTTTATAAATACTTTAAAATTTAGTACCAATTGGACTGCATCAGGAATAGACCATATCTAAAATTATTAAAGCGAAGTTTAGCACTACTACATGTCAGGGATCGACTAATCGGATTGATTAGCAATATCGGCAAGAAGGCTCTTTTCAAAGACACAACAAAAAAAAACAGTACATAAAAGATATATATCTCTGCGTATGTCAGTTCTGAACTTTAGCCAGCCTCTGCTACGTCAAATCGAGATATAATATCGATATCAAATATAGCACAGTACATATTTGAAACAAGTCACCCTGCCAAATATTAATAATCATAATCACCCGCAAATAAATAGTAGGAGTATAACGATAGTATCACATTACAAAACAAACACAAAGAAACATGTCGTGGCAAACATTAGTATCAAGTAATTAATTCACAATGCCAAGTGCAATATGCAACAATCAACCACCTAACGTATGTCACTCGTCCCCAGATGAGGCACCCTGTAAATACACAGTAACATATTCAGGTAAACAAAAGCGAAATGTGCTACAATAAATGCAATTATAAATTATAATGTAGTTCTGCATACTTGTATTGAATATTGAATAAGGGAACATACAGTATCTAAATATAAATAAAAACACATAAATCGGTCAGAAATTCCAGTAGGGCCAGTATAATTAAAAGTGCAATTCGTATCTAAAATGTGTTATAAATGGTGATAATCATGCGGTACGAGAATAACATTAAATTGGCAAATAATCGAACACGTGCATATCATTATTAGATGGATGCAATCGACGAAGAGATAAATAAAACGAGTACATCACCTTTGTAATTGTCGAAGCTGCACTTACTATTCGCAACGTAAAGATTTACTTCTGGTCTCAACAAAAGCACACATACTTCTGCCGCATTCGCCCCCATTATTTTTTTAAACAAATTTTAGACGAAATTGTTTATATGACCGTGCCCCGAGCCGTCGGTCGATATGGATCATTAAGTCCTCTCGCATAGCGTAATATTTGACACTTTTATTGTAAATTATGGCCCATTTCAATGTAGAGCAGAGAAAAAAAACACGTGTTCCACGAAAACGAAAACAAAGCGCAATCTTGACCTTTTTCGTCGCGCCAGGCTCGGATTCGGGAATATTTAAACCGAATTTTAGCGGGCTAATTCGGTTCCATCACAGTATAGAGTTTGGAATTGACAAATGTGCTTAATTACACTATTATGCTATTAACATAATAAAAGGATCTCCGACTATAAATCCACAAATAGTCAATGAAATTCCGCAATTACTACCTAATATGCATTATAAATATTTAGGAATGAAACAAAATTTTGTTTTGGGCCACTCACAGCTTAAACTTTTCAACAAAAATATATTGAAAAACTTAAACTTTTGTTAAAATCAAAACTTAAAACTAGAAATACAATAACGGCTATAAATATTTGGGCAGTTCCCACTTTGTCTTATTCCTTTGGAATTCTAAAGTGGTCTGATACAGATTTAAATAACTTAGATAGAATAACTAGACGGATGTTAAGAAAATATAATTACCTACATCCTAAATCTTGTGTTGAAAGACTTTATATTAAAAGAAAAGACGGAGGACGCGGTTTAACAAATTTATATAATTTATGTAAAAATCATGTAAATTTTTTAACTTACATTCAACATAATTATCAATCTGATTGTTATTATCAATAAAATTGAAAAACGAATTGTCATCATAGATGTTGCTGTTCCACTATCTAAGAATGTGATATCCACTGAAAAAGAAAAAAAACTAAAAAGTATGAAGCTTTAGCAATTGAAACGATGGCAGTTTGGAATTTCAAAAAAGTCAATATTATACCAATTGTGATGTCAGTTACTGGTGTAGTATCGTGCAGTTTTAAAAAACATCCAATACAATTAAATTTAAACCCAAAATTATTTACGTTAATACAAAGATCTGTCTTACTACAAACATGTCACATTGTACGGAAAATTTTCATTTCAAATTAAAATCTAAAGTAAATTTGATTTTTCCTTTTTACCGAGTTAATAATACACAATAATTAAAAAAAAAGGTTTATATAAATATATCAAATACAAAAAAAAAGTTATGGTTGGTTATTACCCCCATAATTTATATTAGTTATACCAATGTAATTGTGGAATAATAAATAATAATAATAAATTAATTATAATTAAAATAAAAACCGAACCAGAAGGGAGGTCTTAGAATCTTCGCCCTGATTCTGAGTACCACAGTTGTGCAACCCAAATTTTGTACACTGATTTCCTATAAATATTAGATTTCCTCTGAGTTCCTTCGAGTTCCTCAGAGTTCATTTGATTTCTTCGGAGTTTCCCTGATTTCCTCCGAGTTCCTCCAACTTCCACGAAATACCTCTGATTTCCTTAGAGTTCCCTCGATTTTCTTTTGGAGTTCCTGTGAGTTCCTCTGATTTTTTAAATTTTTTTAATTATTTCATTGTTATTCCGTTGATTTAACAATTTCCTGGTAAGTAAAATCCGAGGTAAAACCATAAAAAAAATATAAAAGTGTCAAGTGTCAAGTTAAAAAGTAATCGTAAACGATTTACATAAAGCGCATTTCCACTTGCATTCATTTCCCATTTGTAAGTGCAACTTCTGTTAAAATCGTAAAAATCCGGCCACAAATATGAAAGATAGCGTTGCACATGGGCAATCCATTTTTGACGTGCTACTTCAATTTCAGTTTATGAGAAGAAATTCATTTCAATGCTTTTCTAAATAAGAAAGTTGGAACTGCGCATGCGCAAACCTAAATTTTAAAACTAATGTTAGATTTTCCTTTGTTCCAAGCGCCTAAGTATCAAATTTCACTTAAATAGTTCTATAGATAAAAAAGTTGGCACTGCGCATGCGCAAAATAAAATTTTGAAACTGGCGTTTGATTTTCCTTTATCCCAAATGCCTATGTATCAAATTTCGTTTAAATTCTTCCATAAATAAAAAAGTTGGCACTGCGCATGCGCAAAACCAAATTTTGAAATTGGCGTTTGATTTTTCTTTATTCCAAGTGCCTATGTATCAAATTTCATTTAAATTCTTCCATAAATAAAAAAAGTTGGCACTGCGCATGCGCAAAACCAAATTTTGAAATTGGCGTTTGATTTTCCTTTATTCCAAGTGCCTATGTATCAAATTTCATTCAAATACTGATCGTTACTTGATTTTAATCCGTGCGATTAGTTAACCAGGCTAGACCTGAGTTCTCACAAGAAACACCGACCATAATAATAATAATAATAATAATAATAAGTAAAAAAGTTTGCAATTCGGTTTATGGTCGAGATGCGAAAAGGGCACTGTGAATTTTGAATCGATTCGATTCAACTTTTGGCATTGCGTATTATATGGCTAAATCTATGCCCATATTGAATTTCATGCAATTCAGTTCATAACTAACGGAGATGTAAAGGCGATCGAACATTTCTAAACAAAGTTATCGTTCACACGGACAGATAGATGGACAGACAGACAAAGGAACAGACGGAGAGACCAACCGGCAGGCGACAAATAGCAATGCAAAATTATAAACGATCTCTAGGATCGTTAATAAACGGCAAAAGTGTAAAATTATGGAACATGTAAAAAACGGGTTTTTGTTTTTTTTTACAATAACTTTTTTTGTAAGCGGTACAGAAAAAATTCCTTCCTTGGTACAAGACTCGACACCATAACGAACCAAATAGCGAAAAAAGTAGAACAATAACTCCTAAGATAAAGAACTAGTAGCGTCGCAAAGTTAGCGGACGGACGGACGGATAAAGACACGACCTTAGACGAAACACTATTTTATATTTTAATAGACCTATTTGCAATGAGAAAAACTCATTATTAAATGAGAAAAATACCATAAACAAATAAAAAATTAGTTAAGACCAAATTAAATAATAAAATGCAGCACGAGTTCCTTTGATTTCTTTAGAGTTCCCTTGATTTCCTCGGAGTTCCTGTGATTTCCTTGGAATTCCTCCTGAATACACATGGAATTCCTTGGAATTCTTAGCTTTCCTAGGAGTTCCTTCGGAATTCCTATGATTTCCCATAGATTTCCTCAAACGTGTACACTGATTTCCCATCGCGGTTTACCCCTCGTATTAAACAATATATCTTTTGAGACCTTACCATCTTTATTTTTTTCCTTCTTTATATACTCAAATACTTGTTTTATATAAAGTTTATTATAACTTGGTACATGAAGATCTAGCTTACTATAACTCGTCCGCTACTTGAACAAGAGAAGATTAGTTTTATAGATACTTCAACGAATTAATTTATTCTACTTAGACGCAAAGATTTACATTACATAAAAAATTAGATGATTATCACAAGTACATTAAGGCTCCATACAGGTGTAAAACTAACCTACTTTTCATGTACAAGTATGTAACATAAAGTTTCATATTACAAAATACTCTCAGTATGATAATTGAACAATTAATAAAATATACGATATAGATATGTTTGTAACAACGACTAAAACATCCGATCATACAATAACCCTTTAGCTTCTTGATAAGTTAGTGTCCCAATTGAAATAAGTAAGGCAAAATTCGTTTTACGTTAATGTGTTCAACGCCAAACAAATTTGCAGAATGGGTCTGTAGACATTTTTTGCGAACGAAGTAACACTTAAATTGCCTTTTCTTTGTTGACTCACAAAGGCCCTACTAAAAGAATACAAGTACAAAGTGATATGTTACTCTCACGTTTTTCAAAGCGCTTTTTCTAAATAGAAAATTATATAAACAACACATACTACAGAATCAATAGCCACTAAGTTTTTGGTGTTCAGTACCTAGAATCATGTAAGCAGTATTAATTAAGTATAGGTGTTTCATTTTGTTAATTCCTGAGACCCCAAAAAACATTGGTTGTTTCCCCCCAGGGCACTCACTAAAGTAAAGAATCACAGCAGTCTTCTTACCTTTTTGTACAATCTACCACTATGAACGAATTCCTTATAGGTAGGTACATTCCATAATCTACTCCTGCTTTTAAATAAATAATGCTATTGTTGGTCTTATAAATTACATTGACTTGTTGCGTGTGATTGCAGGAGGCGTCGATTGTTTTCTGACTTCGTACGAACGTAGACGCCGCCTGCAGGAATTAGGGGAGGACTGCTCCTGGTCACCTTCCATAGGCCTGAAAAGAGATGTAGAAGGTAGGATTAGCACACATTAGCAAATCATTTTTCGAAGTTTAAAAATATAAAGTAATTCATTAGGCAATATTACGAGTACCTATCTATAAAGATTAAATAGACACATGCAAATAGAAGAGGGACCGTTGAACGTTTTCGAGTGCTACTATAGCAAGGTACTTACTGTCTTTGTAATTATACTTTATTAAAGTTTTGTTTCCACCTCATTATGATTGTCCACCAACTGCAAGCGAATTCGATTCCCATGATTCACCTGCTATTGCTTTTGCCTGACGTTGACTCTTCACAATCAACTGATGCTTGACATAATCTATCGTACGATTCTCAAGACTAGTAAAATGAACAGTTGCAATAAAGCTTTCATAGCTGTCAGGTAAGGCTAGCAACAGATAATTAGGCTTTCTACTGAATAACTTCATTTTCGCTAATTGCTGATAATTCTGCTAGCATACTGTCAAATCGTATAAAAAATGCCATTTTGTCATCATCTGAATTCATTTTCAATTGTAATAGCTTTCGCTCATAGAACATTCCATTACAGCTGATTTGGTCTGAAATTGCTCATAAAACTAGACAAGATATGCTTATACTTGCAAAATTCAAAGTAAATACTCTTAAATCGAAAAAATTCCGGACCGGATATAACCGGCCCGGAACGGACGGCAGATCGATATTGACATTTACCGGCTAAAATTTGTTCAGGGCCGATTCCGTCCGAATAAATGTGATTCAAGTCTAACGCGTCTAATCTTACGTTCGAAAGTAACCATTTTCCCTCCACCGCTATTTAAACTCCTCAAGAAGTGTCAAAAGTTGAAGGCTAGACGTGTTCTTTATTTCAAATGACGTGGTATGAATACTTCCTTGAGGGCAGGTACAGACAACGACTACAGACGTAATTCATTTTTTGTTTTTCCATTAACTTATCCTCCCATTGTCCATTTCCACGCAAGGTTCCTTGAAGTAGCAATTTTGCCTGGATTGTGACTGGGGATTGAGTAGAGAACACATCTCTTCGTAACGTCCTTCTCAAACTTCGGATCCTTGATTACGCATTGTAAATTGCCGTTTCCTCTATTTATTTCAGCCGAGAACCCACATTTCTGGAAGAGAATCACAATTTCCATTTGCATTGGGTATTTCTAAGGACTCTGTTTCAGCAGCTCCCGTAGGGGCATTTCTCCTTCCTTGCATTTCTTATGTTCTTTAAGCGATAAAATGGGAGTGAGAAAGTTATCCACACAAAAACAATTTCTCATCTTCTGCGCAAAAGGATCCAGATGTGAAACCAAATGATATTTGATTCTGGTACCAGGCATTACAATTTATTGAGACCGAAGACAACTCACTTGTGATGGACAATTTTCAACTCCCGACAGCTACTATCCTTCTGGAATGGCTTGTCTTCTTCACCGATTATATCATTATCATTTGGAATTCCTTCCTAAAATCTGACGATACTCCCACCGTGCTTTCTTGAAAATCGGGGCCTTCAAACTTGGTTTCTGCGTCGAAAACTGGGCTAGGGTAGTAGGAAATGTCCAATATTTTGTTCAGACATCTCCGTCATGAGTTATTCCTTTTCCTACAAATTGAACACTACATCGTAGTCACTCCGCTTATTTTGTTGTTGGAATTTCATTGTAACCGATTCCGTTCTCTTCTGACGTACTAATCGATTTGCGGGGAGACTTCCCTTTTACATTGCAAGGGAGTACTACAATTGATTTTCAATTATGCCCCCTTTGAACCGTCTTTAAAAATAAGTTACTAGCATCCATGTCGCTCTCCGCCTTTGAGTTCTTGCCTATCGGGTTGTTTATGTCGATGGTCTTCAGATTCCAAGGTTTATCGAGGTTGAGAGTGTTAGCCATACACATACGCAATCGTCCTCCCATGCCCCATCCAAAGATAGTTTTTCTCTTTGCAAACAGTTTGAAAACAAAACCCTGACTAATTATCACGCTCGTGAAGCAAGCATTTTATTCAATGACTATTTTCTGCTTATCTTAAATGGACAATGTTTTGTAGTTTTAGATGCTTATTTAAAATTTGCATGTGGAAGTTTACATTAGCTTGGACCTAAATTCAAAAAAACTAAAATTTGCCATTTTCTTGAATGTCTTATATATCATCGAAAGTATAAGAGATATAAAAAAAGTTTTATATAAAAGTTACTGTCTTTGATACGCTAAATTTAGAATTGATGTAAAAAATTGAAAATGGCTACTTTTGAGGACATTTACCAACTTCCTAAAGTAAAAATAGGCGCCATACTGGATTTTTAGATTACATAATAAAATTTTTAATTTTCTTTTCAACGAGCTATGATAACAGAAGAATGAAAATAAGACACCCGTTATATCAACGGTTTTTTGTATTTTAATCGTAGTTCGTGATGAATCGAATCGATATTATTTTAGTTTTGGATGAGATAGGCAAAAAATGCCTTTTTTTGCGTGGCCACCTCGTTATTATGTAAATTACATCTTCTTTAAGATTAGAATATAAAAACCAGGAAAACCAAGATATTTCGAAACTATCAGAGATAGGTATAAGACATTATTATCAAAAGTTGAAGGTTTTTGACGGAGCTAAAAGAGACAAGAGAAATATACAGGGTGTTCCATTTAAAAAATGTGAGATTTTTTAGTATGAAGTTTGGACCTACAAAAAAAAACAGCCTCTAAGCTATTTTTTTTAAATATTTCATAGCAGATGTATTTATTTGACTTTACCCAGGATAAAAGATACAGAACCAGGAATTAAAATGTAAGTAATAATTTTGACAATATTATACTGACGCTTGCAAATGCCAATTTTTTCTTACAAATCGAATTATCTTTAAAACCACTAGTGTTTCGGATCTTAATCATAGTTACAATAAAAAAAGTCGTACGTAGAATTGAAAAATGCATTCAAATACAAGGGGTTCCATATATAAAAATTTACAGTTTTGGCACCTTGTATAATTCCAAATATTTTTAAAATGTGGAGAATATTCAATATCATAATACAAAAGCACTCTATCGAAAAATCTTCTTCAAGGCATTAAGTTACTCCGCGCAATCGTTGACTCACACCCTGTATACCTACATAAAAAATCCTTGCACTTACATATTGCTTTCATCTTATACAGCAATTAGTAAAAAAATATGCGAAAGCAGTAATCGAAATTCAGTGAAATGCACGAAAGATTTAAGATAGGTACGAAAATAGTGTAATGCTGCAAGGTGTGAAAGGAAAACAACCAAATTATTGAAAAATAAAAGAATTAGACAAAAACCATACTATTTAGGTGATTATGTAGCACGGCAAATTGTTTATAGTTGTACGGCTGATTTAATTGATAGTATAAAAATTCACAGATTTCGCAACCCCTGCAACCATCGGTGACATTGGAAATGATAACCGTATTACCTATAAAGCCATATGTAACTGTAGAACATCTTTTACTTGAGTGCCAAACATTTCAACAGGAAAGAATAACAATGTAGATTAAACAACTCCATCCAAGAAATCCTCAACAATGACCATGCAACAGTCAACAATCTCATCAAATTTCTGTACATAACAAAATAATTAATTAATCGCATTTAAAATGTAACATATACATGTAATGGGCTAATGGGCGATATGACCTAGCTGTTAAAGCCCGATGTCAAATAAAAGAAAAAGAAAAATCATAATAATAACCCATATTAACACGGAATCATTTGCTCCACGCGCTCGCAAGTTCGCTCGTGTCGCAAACGTAAACTTTCTAAATACTAAAGGCCGAATGCACAAACAATAAATAATCAGGCCGTTAGTTAATCAGTATGATTAAATTAAACCTTTGATTGAATTAGATTGGTATGCACAAAACAAAAAAACTCCTTGATTAACTAACCAAGGTGATAAAGTATTGATTAAATATTTGGTAAAAATTGGCGCCGGCAACGTTGTACTTTTATGGAACTGTGTGATTTTTTTGGATCGTATAGAAGGCTCTCCTTTTTTGTTATCTGTAATTTAATAGTCAATGTTTATGTTAACAATGGAAAAAAAGATCCGTGGCCAAAACTTTACCGTAGTATCTGAGAGATCATTTACTGCAAATAATTGAGTGAATCATAAGCAAATATTACCTTCTTATTATAGTAACTTAGAAACTGTCCTGAGTTCGTTCAATAAAAATTTCGGTTAAACTTCCATTGAGTGCTTAATTTTTTGAAAGTGGAGCTTACTCCAACATATATTTTTAATTGCTAGAATAATTTATTCCAGTAGCTAAAATCATAAATTAGGCACTTCTGATAAAGTTTCTCACCTTTATACCTCTCGATGCTGCATGCCTTCAGTCTTATATCAATTCCGAATAGCTAGGTACTCATTTTTTTCCATTTTATAGTAAGGAACATATAAACCAGAATCCAGAGTGACGAGCTCTTAGATACTTCCTCATTTCTGAAACATCAAGCCCATGCGAGTTCGTCACAGAAGATTTCATTTCCGAATCAATCACCAAAAAACCAGTAAGCTTCACACTTTTATGATATCATAAAACGAAATGCGAGAAAAGCGGATGCATCGAGCATTGTAACCAATGTTTAATTAATGTTTATAAATTCATTAGGGTGTATAATTATTGGTACGTTTTTAGAAAGAAAGGTTTACTTGCCAAAAAGTGTGAAAAAGTAACCTCTTATTTCCAAGGTAGGGAGAACGAAAACTGGAGGAGGAATCGAAAGCAGCATCACCGGCACAACAAGTACTATCGATAATGAGTGTTATGGTAAATCCTCTTATTATGTTACAAATCTTGAAATTGCGAGATGGCTAGTCGTTATTGCTTACCTCCCGCCCGCTCAAAATACCTATCCTTTTCATTTTCTTCCACACCTGCCCGTCAATGTACTCCAAAACGTGGAATTATTGCTCCAAAACGGAGACCCCAAATGCAAAATAATGGTCAGTTTGCAGCAATTTAAAAAAAATTACCACCTTCAAAAGTGGAAGAATGCTCGACTGGAATACTACACTCTCCTCATGGAGAAGAATTAGAATAGAAAACGTGTTTACGCGAGTCAATTAAAGAAATGAATATATTTTCTATTTAAATAAAGTGATGTTAAAAACTATTAGAATAGGCCTAATTATTCTATAAAAATTACTTTTCACAAGCACAAATCGAAAATTATGAACTAACTGTCAGTTTAATCAGTCGACGAGCACGGGTTAAATTTTGCCATGATTAGAGGCTGCTTGACGGCACCGTTAATGCTAATTCTTTTTTGTGCATACGAATTCTAGCTTAATCAGGGTTTAACAGTTCCGTTAAATTAACTAATTTAATCAAGACAAATGTCTTTGTTTTTTTATCGAAACAAATGAGTTAACAGCTCCGTTAAGAAAAAATATAAAACGGCACAAAATTTGAAAAATATAAATATAAATCAAACAATTTCACGCTTGGGCCTTTGAAACTGACAGTCAATGACAGTTCGAGAGTTTAGTTCGTAACCGAAACTACCAACAAACAAAATTAGTCATTCGATTTATTTTTCAGGGTAATACTGTCTCATGTTTTAAGCAATCACAGTAAAGGTAAAACAGTCCCTTTGCTTTCTACCAATACCTTCTTGAAATGAATAGAGTATAGATTCGAATTAACAAAACCCTTGCGCACTGATGTATCGACAGTATCCGTTTCCTGAATCTACCGATTGCAGTCGAGTACGGTACAATCTTCACTTGATGCGACACCACTGTCTTCTTTTCTGCTTGACGAAACTGGCAACTTCATACCCATACCAAACATAAGCATTTCCAATGCTAATATTTATCTAGAATGTATAAAAACCTATGTTTTATCTTTGTTTTTCTTTCAAGCGGTATATAGTGTTGTCTTCATAATTTCAGTTTTTTTGGGTCACGTAGTAAAGTCCATATAAACAATTGAATAGCGTAAGAGGCTCCTGGGATGATGATTATTATTAATACATAAACATTATTAATATATTCTATACACAACATAGATAACTTTAAACAAATTATGGTTGGGCTTGTATCGAGGGCATTTTACAAGAACCTTTTTCTGGAAAACGTATTAAGTAAATAAAATCGCTTTCCAACAGTGGACACATCACGATCGTGACATATTTTGGTTAACTTCGTTCACAAAAATACATTAAATTGTGTTCTATTCTTGAGTATCGGAGTTCTATTTAAATTCACATAAATAAATAAACTTCAGTTAGAAAAAATGATTATCCAATAAAGTGCCAATGTGAAGGTGTAAAGCTGACTTAAATGGAACAAATTATTGGCGATCTCTTTGTATGGATCATTTTAAACTGAATAGCTTGTGCAAGTCAACTATATATCAACAGTTATAAGTAGTAAATACAAAATGTTCCTATGGAATACCAATAAATAGGATTATCCTTTCTGTAATGATAAAGTGGATTATATCATTTGGGTTAATGCCTCTGATCTCGAACATCCAATTCGTTACCTATAAATATATAAATTTTCCTTCTCAATATACGAATGTAAAAAGGGCAGACGATGACAGACTATAAATCCGTAGTTTTATGTCAAACCCTTACGGGTAGCTGTATGAATTTCTGCCAGTTCCTCCTAATAAGATTATTAACCCTTATTGATCCAAACCAGTGGGAATTTTTACAATAACGGCCGGATGGGTTCCTACGACAAAAACTAAAGCTCTTTGTTAACACAATCATCTGAATTATAGGGTGAAAGACGCACAAAACCGGTATGAGATAAGATAAATTATTACTAGTCCAATTTGGATAACCTTCGCCAGCAAAAAGCAATGTAAAATGCATTAATTCTGTCAGAGAGACGTTTTTGGCTTCGACTGAGAATTCACACCGGGGTATCTAATCTTACGATTTGTCGGCCATTACGCCGGAAATGGTTACAAATTAAAACAAAACTTTCTGAAGCTAGGTACGTGCCCGTTAGCACTGGAGTGTACTTAATTACCTTAACTCAATTTTTGTCAGCGCTGCTTTAATTTCGCCTGGCTAGCACCAAACTCTCCAATAAGTCGGGCGAGTCTGGTCTGTAGAATATCGACGGTCGCTTCCAATCGTTGTATACTCTCTTCCATAGAATCGCGTGTGATTTGCGACTTTTTGAACACATCTTCATCGAGTAAACCATCTTTACGTAGTATCTGGCATCCTCGTTCCGTTAAATTCGCTCTCGCCTTTAAAAGATAAGTACATAAAATTAAACGTAAGAGTAACATTATATAATGACCTAATGAAATCGTTGTAAATAACGATTTTTGAGGAGACTCATCCTAGTCAACTCAAAATTATAATTTTTAAATTAATCTCGTTGTAACAATGTTATTCTGACGAAGACATTTGTGTAAAAGAAACCTATCACTATGCTGTAAAGTTGCCTATATTGTTTATAAAAAATGAACTTTGAAAATAAAATTGTGAAGCCATTTCACGAAGCCCAAATGGCCCTTTAGAGTTTTCCGTTATTAAACTGAAACATTTTGAAACGTATCGCTGCATTTTTACTTTTTACTCTCGGTAAATTTGCCCCAGAGTAGTGACGTGTAAATACCTTCACGTAGACCTTATTTCAGAATAAAAACTAACAGTAATAACGGAACACCCTGTATATGAGAAATAATTCAATTTTTTTAAGTGTAAATCGGAAAGATTATTCACGAACAAACACAGAATAGGTCCGTTTTACTTGAGTTGGGGGCTCAGTGTTATTTTTCCTTTTGGTTTGGTTTGTAATTGCATAATTTTTTCTAGAAGTACCATTTGTGTGAGTTATTCGATTTGCATACGACGCATTAAGTAAGAGACATCTAGTCAAGTTTTCTTATTTTTATAAAAGGTTTTATTTGAGTGTTTCCGATAAGGAGCGTTATCGGATGTAATTTAATTAACGCACGTGTTCTGGTGCTGATAACAAGATATGCAGGTGGTCAACGATGTACAACGTATTATTTTCGGAGTAAGTGATCTAATTGTAATTGCGCATTATTTGTAAATAGCGGAGGAGGGAGATTGTGCCATAATGGAAATGGTGTTCCCTTAAATACGTGAAACGAGGTAACATTGCTGCTGTTTTTAGTTCGAGACGGTGAAATGAGCGTGTAAATTTGTTTACGCTCAGTTACAGGCCCTTTCAATTTGTTGAAGACGCAGTTGGTCAGTTTCGAAATAAACTGTGAAAAAGAATTTCAGCAGTATTAATAAAGGATTTAAGTCATCGTCTAGTGGAGTTTGTAGAAAGTTTTTTTAAACGGTTTGTCCGTATTCAGAACGAGTGTGTGAATCAACAAAGTAGTTAAAAGTTTCTACCGTCAGAGTATTCCACGAGAATACTTTTCATCTTATTTATCAAGCTAGTTCGAGTTATTGAGTCCAGTTTTTTTAGAGATAAAGTGAAGTTTCCTGAAACAGTCAGCGAGTTTTTTTGAGCGCGTCTGAATATCGCAAACCATTCACGACCAGATTATATGGATTATTTAAAAGAGAAAAAAACTAACTCATCTTAAGCTATTTTCGTTTTTTAATTATGGAACGCCTGCGTGCGGCGTAATTTGTTTAAAATGTTCATATTTTATTTTAATTTCATCATTTAATGTGTTTCGGAATAAATTGTTGTACTTGTCAATCAAATAATTGTGTGTCTACTAGAACCAATTGGGCGATCCGGATAGAGTATTCATGTCAGAACTTTCTTCGCGTACCCAAGATTTATTTCAAGTGTTGATCAAATTTTTGTGTAATAAAGTCTTTGCAATTTTCGAAAGTTGAGGGAGACCCAAACTTTTAATTTAGATCAATATTCGGAATTTACTTTGTAGCAGATGCTGGAAGTGTAATGTGCAATGGGGCAGTTGGAAGAGTTTTAATATCTTATTATAAGAAAAAAACAAATAAATGTATACTTGCTTATGCATAACGTGGATCCCGAATTTCCATATTGACGAAAATTGAATTCCTAATACAATGTGAGCTCTTTATATATTCTGACGTGATCACGCTGTTCTAACCGAAACCCGTATCCAACGGGGTTGCTCTTTTATTATGAAACATGATAACCTCATACTGCAATTACCGCATGTACTGGCGGTATGTAGAGGGTAGTTCAGATTATTTTTCATTTAAAGTAATAGGAGGGCATGGAACATTGAGCAGAGATTTTCCAACCCATCCCAAACGAGAGCGCTGAAAATATGTATAATCTCGATAGCTGCTAATGTGTTGTGAAATTTTAGATCACGTACATATAACGAGAAGACGAAGCGACGTTTTCCTAACTTTAATAACCTCCTCCGTTACCAAACTTATTTTCCGGCTGTACAACTTCATGGCAAACATATTGCTCTCCGAGAGATATTTAAATATTCCCCACGCGAGAAGTACCTAACTTATAATAATACTTTTAAGAGGCTTTACGTTTTCTTTAAACATCGTTTTAAAGTTGTACCATTACGCTTCTGCAATTTGGTTTCTTATCAAAAACGGAATACTTATAAGCTATCATTTCGTCAATAAATTCTTTAAATGCTGGTAATTCGGTAAGCCTATAAGGTGTAAGAAATCAATATTCTCATCATTCCATCCCCCTTCCTTCAAGCTTTAGGACTCATTTACATACCAGATTTTATCACGGTTTAGAATAAAAGAACGTTCAATAACGGAAGCAAGTGTTCCTCAGAAAAAATATTGAGGGAAACTTCAAGTTTCAATTAAACCTTTAAATATTTATGTTCACAGATTAAACTTAGATGTGATAAAATGGTTTTAGTTAGTTAAACTCTAGCGGAAATTGTGGTTATTTAAACGCAATTAATTGTAAACAAAATTGGGTTAACCTAAAAAGGGCAGCAAATTATGGTAGTACTGATTTTATAAGTTCCATTACTAAAATTTCATGGAATGAGCTACATTCGGTTACAGAATAAAACATTTTTAAACAAAGCTGCCTAGGGGAAAGGATCTTATTTTGCTTATACTTGAAGGATGAGAATCTTCGCATTTCTGATTTACTTGAACTGGTCGCGAATAAAAAAAATAATTTAAATTTCAAAATGTTGGCATATATTGAAAAAGATTCAAACTGTGGATTCAGATACCAGAGCTTCGTAAGAATTGAATAAAAAATGATAATTTTAGTACAGTTCAGGTAGTAAGGCTGTACGAAGTTTTCTAACTAAACTCTGAAATTTCTTTGGCAAAAAATCAAAAGGGTTATTAGTCTTTCTACTAACTATTTACACTCAGCTGGAAGATTCACGTAATTAAGTAATAATCTCATTAAAAAATTAAATTCCCCTAAGAGGGGCCCACGTAAAGTTGGTAAAGTAGTTGACCGGATCTTTAAGAGTTCTCTTTCTTAAATTGAAATTATTTAGAGGAAAATTTGCAACATCCTTAAAGTAATAGGCTCTTTACTGTTTTGAATACAACATTTTGTAGTACCTGCCTTACACATACAGCAAGGCTAAAATATATTCTTCACTCGTGCAACCTCAATATACCTACTGATTGATTCAATTCTTGAATCGGAAAGATCGGAAAATTTTTCTGGGACTCGTATAGGAAATGGCGCCCGGGAATATAGCTCTAAATCCACTTTAACCGATGGAGTTCTACTTTGGCGTATCCGAGTATGCTAAAATCGACCGTCTGCAGCCTCAGGTTATGCGGTACTTCTCGCGGTAACAATTCGAAATGGTCGTTTTTTGAGAAAATAAGTTACACACCAAATGACAAACCGATAATAGCTCCTGAAAAAATATTTAAAAATCCCCTGTGGGAGATTCCTATCTAGAACAAAATAGAAAAGCGACACTTCTACACCAAAAAACTAAATCCACACAAGAAAACGAAACAAGGCGAAGAAAACGGATATGATATGAAAGAAAGCGAGCTAAACTGGAGAATTGGAACATGGAATATCAGGAGTATGAATGGAAAAGAAATCGAATTAATAGAAGAATTTGAAAGGCTAGGCTAGACATACTTGGAATTACAGAGACAAAGAAAAAAGAACAAGGGAAATTTGGATATAGGAAATGGGCACATATTAATATACAGTGGACTACAGGAAAACGAGAGAGCGTCGGCAGGAGTAGTATAATAAACCGAAATTTAAAAGAAGAAATACATAAATGGACAGTAGTAACAGAAAGAATAATGACAGTGAGATGGAAATGAAAAATACAGAACAACGTACAATAGTCATAGTTTATGGTCCAAATGAAGATGAGAAAGTAGAGAGGAAGGTTCTAGAAGGATATCGGAGAGACATATATATCTTAGGAGGTCTTAATGGAAGAGTCGGTAAAAAAGACTCAGTCTACCCAACAATTATAGGCCGCTATGGAGAAGACAATAGAAATAACAATGGGAAAAGGCTTAAATGCACAATATTATAATTACCAACACTTTCTACCTACATAAAGAAATACACAAGTATACCAGGGTAGAACCAATTCGAAATGAAAAGTTCATCATAGACTATATAACCGTGGAGAAAACACAAAAGAATAAGGTAGGTACTTGACGTAAGGATAAGGCGACGACCGGAAATAAGCAGCGACCACTATCTAGTCGTAGCAAGGGTAAAAGGAACGAAACAAGATAAAACGTATAGAGGATCTATGGAAGATAAACAACAAACGAAAACAAACATCTTGGTGGAGTACAGAAATAAAGCAAAAAATCAAGATCAAGAAAGAAAAGTGGCAGAAGTATCTAGCAAACAAAAGCGAAGAAAATTATGAAGGATACAAAGAACGAAGAAAATTGGTAAAAGAGACAATAATAGGAGCAAAACAAACAGCGTGGAGTATTTGGAGAAAAACTGGAAACCATTAATAAGGGTAACCAAAAGCTATTCTACAAAGTACTGAAAAATTTAAAAAAAGGCAAAAAACCACACGACCCTACTGAAATGAAAAACAACGAAGGTGTGGTCCTAAGAAATGAAGAAGAAATAATGGGAAGATGGGATTGCGATCTGTTAAGCGGGGTGGATGAGAGCAGAGAACTCATAAAGGAACAGAATACTGCATTGGTTGAAAAAACAACCCAACCGATATCAATAGAAGAACTAAGTGATGTCATCAAATTACTTAAAAACAACAAATCACCGGGACACGATGGAATTACAGTAGAAATTGTAAAGCGTGTCGAGGAATAACGCTATTGAGCACAATCGCGGTAAGATCTATGAGCAGCTGATAAATAAAAAGCTAGAAGAAAGGACAGAACAAACACTAAACGAAGGCCAAAGTGGTTTCAGAATGTGAACGCAATCAAGCAAATATCGGAAAAGAAAGGGTAAACGGGAGAAGGCTATATAGCGCTTATTGATTGATCAAAGCGTTTGACATCGTTCCCAGAGAAAAATGGCAAAGCCTACACCGAAGAGGAGTCTATGATAAAGATGATAAACAACAAAGAACTATGTCATTTGGAGAAACAAGGTGTTCACAACAACACAAGGACTAAGACAA